TGTTCCTCCATTTGAATGTAGCTAGCTGCACGTGCTCTGAGTTCATCCATGGTTGCCGGTTGATGTCGGCAAAGACTATCGACAAAAGGACCGGGTTTAAGTGCCATAAGCATGGAATGAAGGGCGACCTCAGGATTAAGGTTACGAATTTTTATAGAAACGTTGGCAAAACGTTCCATGAAGTGTCTTAAAGATTCATCATCCTGTTGTCGTAAATTGGAAAGTGCGGCTTGTAACACCCCATTTTTTTCGTATTTCTATTTTATTTTATTTTTGAAGGTATTTTGGTAAATTTTATAAAGGTATAGAGGTGATTTAGTAGCTTGGAACGGGCTGTTCCGGAATTAGAACGGGTCGTTCCAAACTACCAAAATGTATGTGATTTAGTAGCTGGGAACAGGTTGTTTCGGAATTGGAACGGACCGTTCCAAACTACCAAATTGTATGTTAGTTCGTAGGCCAGAACGGGCCATTCTCAAGTTGGAACGGGCCGTTCTGGACGATTAAAAACTGCTTTATACTTTAAGTGGGAACGGGCTTGGAACGGGCTTGGAACGGGCTACGATAGTTGTGAGTAATAAATGCAACCAGAACGGGCCGTTCTGGTTTGGGAACGGGCCGTTCTGGTGTGCTTTTTGCTCACGATTTTGGGGTCCAGAACGGGCCGTTCCGAAATTGGAACGGGCCGTTCTGGCGAAGTCTGAGGCCTATAAATTGAGTTGTCTGCCACTCTGAAAAGCCACACCTCTCATTTTCTGATTTCTTTTCTTCTGCTCTCTCTTCTTTTCCCTCTACTTTCTGCTTCAGACCGAGGGGAACCCAGCGAGGGAGACCAACCAGATCTCGTATAAATTCAGCTTCTACGTATCCAGGTACGGGGGAAAAGGGGATTATTTATATGTGGAGTTACATGAGGGAATTGGGTAGAGGAAGAACCCTTAGGATTATGAGTAATTTTATAATTATTTCTGTTTAAAGAATTATTGGCATTATTTGATTCTGTATATATTTAGGACAACAAATATATGATTTGTTTGTAAAAATGATGCTCTAGGGGAGAGAACGAAATTATAGAAAAGTGCCTGTAGGTTAGGTTTTGGAAAAATTGGATTATTTCTGTTTGAGGAATTAATTATACCATTAGATTCTGTATGTGTTGAGGATTATAAATATGCTAATAATTTGTAAGAATGATGATCTGGGAGAGAGAACGAAATTGTAGAAAAGTGC